TTAAAACCCGTGTGTTAAACACACATTGAATTGATTTATATATATTAATACCAACAGTGAAAATTATATATTATAGATATTGCTGTTAAATCCACGCTTTTCTTTTTTTATAAATACGATATATCTCATATCGATTCCGCGCTGGAAGAATCACGTTTGTGGATTGAAAGGGAATATTTATCGACCAAACTGTATTCACGAAAAGTAAATTATTCACGAATAGAAGTAAAAAAAAAAAAACAGAATCTACTCTCTAAATTTCTCGTAAAAAAAAACGGAATCTACTCTCTGAATTTCTTGGAGTGAAATCTCACATTTTTGGAATGAAAAGTCACTCCAAATATTCATGAAAATACCGCCATTCAAAGTGGAGTGAAATTGTTCACTCTTCATTTGGATTTGTTCTTCAACTCTAAAACGAGAGACTTTAAGAGTCGCAGGCATTTTTTGAGTCTTGAAATCTCTAAGTTACTCCACTTTATCTGTACAGGAGTACAAACATATTAAAGATTGAAGACATGAACTTCGATTTATTACATTTTATAAACGTTTTCAGTAGAAATTAATTTCTTTCATTATCTTAAAGTACCTATACAAAATATCTGAACCTCTGTTCGTAACCTTTTGATTTCTATTTTATGTATGTACAAATGCATAAACAGGCTTGCCTCTGATAGATTCATTCCCGAGTTTGTCAAACACTCGACGTTGTTCATACACTCCAAACAACTAAACACAATTAATAATTGGCAATTATAAACGGCACTTGTACGAGAACAAGAACTGAGAAGGCGTTAGACGAGTAATCTGCACTTTAAGTAGGAGCGAAGTTAGAGCATTAACAATTTTACTTTAAAGATAAGAGTAAAACTTTTCATTTTTTGTGTGAAAGAATTCACTCTATCAAAGTGAATACTTCCTCCACGTAGAGTGAACTGATTCAGTGACTCTAGGATCAGAGTGAAATTTTCACTCCAAAAAATTTAGAGAGTAAGATAACGATATCACTAAGATCGTCGAGTTACTAAAGAAGAAAGCGCGACTTTCTTTGTAAATGATTCTTTTCCGTTTGTTTTACGTTTGTTATTTCTTCGTTAATAACTGCTTCCTCGCGGTAAAGTCGCGAGAGACGTACGCATACGTATAAGCACGTAGGCACGTATATAAACAGGCCGCGCGCCGCGTGAATTAATTGCCATTTGTCCCGTTTGTGACGTGAAACGTATTATACAGAAAAGTTCGTTTATATACGCCCCGTCGTTTTCGAACAATGTAATGTACATACACATATACCCGTCCGCGTTCGTTTACTCTCATCGTCACGTGTTCACGGCACGAAACGTGTGAGTCGTCACGTATAACTTATGTGGGTGTTTCTCGCGACGTATCCGAGGAACTTTGGACTTCTATATGTATACTTACCACGTTGGCGCCCCATTTTCAGAATTTCGACGCGATCGATTCGTCCATACATTGACTGCCACGTCATTCATGTATGGGACTTACATGCATTTCATGAAAAGCTTCGAGGAAACTGCAACACGTACGTTTCTTTTTACACTTTTTCC